CACCAGCAGCACCAGCTCCAGCAGCACCAGCTCCAGCAGCACCAGCTCCAACTCCCGCAGCACCACCAGCAGCACCAGCTCCAGCAGCACCAGCTCCAACTCCTGCAGCACCACCAGCCCCAGCAGCTCCAGTACCTCCAGTACGAGCACCTCCGGGACCAGCGGCTCCAGTACCTCCAGCAGCTCCAACACCCGCAGGGCCTCCAGCAGCGGCAGGACCTCCAGCACGAGCACCTCCAGGACCAGCAGCTCCAGCAGCTCCAGCACCAGCAGCACCTCCAGCAGCGGCAGGACCTCCAGCACGAGCACCTCTAGGACCAGCAGCTCCAGCAGCTCTAGCACCAGCAGCACCTCCAGCAGCGCCAGTACCTCCAGTACGAGCACCTCTAGAACCAGCGGCTCCAGCAGCCTCCAGCCCAGCAGCACCTCCAGCAGCTCCAGCACCAGCAGCACCTCCAGCAGCTCCAGCACCAGCAGCACCTCCAGCAGCACCACCAGCTCCAGCACCAGCAGCACCTCCAGCAGCAGCCCCCCCAGCTCCAGCAGCACGGCTACAGCGCCGAGCGTACCACTCACGAAGCTGCCGTGGAGAGAGGGGCTCCCGCCGTGACGGGACACTCGGAAGACCTCCAGTCTCAGCACCCCCAGACACAACACCCCCAGGCTCAGCACCCCCAGACTCAGCAACCCCAGGCTCAGCACCCCCAGGCTCAGCACCCCAGGCTCAGCACCCCCAGACTCAGCAACCCCAGGCTCAGCACCCCTAGCAGCACCAGAGTCAACAGCTACCTCAACAGGCTCGACTGCGTCTACCTGAGACACACCTGAGGGGGCAGGACCCTGAGGGGGGAGGGGGGTCTACCGGAGGAGTACCTGGCGCGAGGAAGAGCGGCGGGGGGGGGAGGGGGGCAGTGCGGTAGGGGAAGAGACGGTAGTAAGGAACCGACTCGTCAAACATGACGTCCTGAGAGGACAGAACACGGCGCGAGGTGGGGTGTAAAACTGCCAACCAGGCGCGTCAAGGGGGAAGCCAAGGAAGACGCAGGGAATGGCACGGGAGGACAGCTTGTCCGCAGACAAGTCGCGGACGAAAGCTCGAGATCCCCAGACACGGAACGCAGACGCATCGCCAACCTTCCCTGTCCACCGCAGAGTGGGGGTGGTCTCCGGCATGGAGACCCGGGGCTGGAGGTTGATCTGATGCGCCGCGTACTGAACCGCGAACGGCCACAGAAAATGGGGAGCAGCCGCATGGATCATGGACGTACGAGCGACATCCATGACCATGCCAATGCGGCGCTCAGCAATCCCATTTTGCTGTGGAGAGGCCGGAAGCGTGAACGTCTGGCGGATGCCCTCCGCCCGACATAAAACTCGCAGAAGGTCGGAGGAAAACTCTCCACCTCTGTCTGAGTGCAGACGCAGAACAGGAAAGTCCGAGCCGAAACTCTCATTGAGCTGGAGACGAGCAGCGCGGATCCAGTCGATCAACATCTCAGTGACCTCACCCTTGCGGCGCAAGGGGAAGACCGTGGTGTAACGCGAGTAGTCGTCAACAACCAGCAGGAAGTAACGCTCGTGACCCTGTCCACGGACGCGGGCTGGGCCCCACACGTCCATGTGAAGAGTCTGCAGGGGAGCCTCTGTCGGAGGAAACTCGGAGGAGTGAGGAGCGGCGTGCTGCCGGCCCTCGACGCAGGGAACGCAGGTAGGGGCAGGCCCCGGAGGAAGGGGAGGGAGGGAAGGGGGGAGACCTGAGACAAGGACACGGGAGGCCATGCCTCGGAGACGAGGCAGGGAGGGGTGACCAAGGCGGTGGTGCCAAAGGAGAGTCTCGTGAGACAGGAGGCGACACGAGCAGGGGGCAGACTCAGGGCCAGACCGGGACGCTGCAGCAAACACCTGACCCGACGCGGCTACCCGACCAGACTCAGCAACCGGAGGAGACACGGTAGTCAGGGTGTACAGGCTCGACCCAGGTTGACGGGTGAACGTGGCCAGGTGCCGGCCCGTCCAAGTACACGAACAGTGGGTCACCCGCTGACCTCCAGGAGTGAACTGGTCAACCCACACGTCCTGAAGGTCAGCTCCACTCACCAAGTTCGTGGAGAACGAGGGGAGGTGGAGGCCAGACAGAGAGCCAGACGGGACCCGCCGGACACGGCAGGACCGTGGAGGAGTGTGCAAGGACCGGACCCCCAGAGGGGTCAGCCAGAGAGACTGCCACTGGCCGACTGAGCGGCGAGAGTGTGGTGGCAGTCGCGAAAGAAGGAGCGGGAAGCACCCGAGTCAAGGGTGAAAGTGTGCAAGGCCGCAGCAGGCGTAGTACCAGAGAGAGCAGACTCACCAGCACCTGGAGGAGTGGACTCCCTAGCGCCTAGAGCAGCAGCCTCACCGGCACCTGGAGCAGGAGACGCACCAGCACCTAGAGCAGCAGCCTCACCAGCACCTAGAGCAGCAGACCTTATACCTGGGTCAGGCGGCACACACAGGTAACAGGCACCCTCAGCACTAGTAGGCAACGCATACATGGCAGTGAGGATAGCATCATAGTCAAGAGTGTCAGAAAGAACGAAACAGGAATGGTTGACTAGCAGGAGGGTTGGGTACAAATAGGTCAAACCTAACCCTAGAAGTGTTGTACTCCCTGAGGCTAAACCCACTATAGCCTACACTATATATAAACATATAATGTTTGACACACCCCCATAGGCGAAGTGGGAGACAACCAGAGGGTCACAAGACCAGTCAAAGCAAAGCAAAGCAAAGCAAAGCTCAGGGTGGATCTCAAGGATACCACACAAATTCCGAGCACAAGCAAGTGGTCACAAGACCAGTTCACATGCAGTTTGATAATAGAACAAGAGGTACAGTGATCACAACCTAGCAAGTGAAAGCATGCAGGTATATATATAGAGATCACAGTACAAGCAGAGTCAAGAAGTGAGGCAAGTGAGGGAGAGTAGGCACAAGGCCTAGAACAGTACAGAAACGCTGATGGTCACAAGGCTGAAGCGCCTTGGTGAACACATCAGCAGTGTTGGCCCGAGTGGCCACGTAACGCAGACGAAGCTGACCACGCTGCTGCAGCTCTCGAGCAAGGAAGTAGCGCAGAGCGATGTGCTTCGTTCTGTGCTCCAGTCTATGCTCCTCACACAAGGCAATGGCTGCCTTGTTGTCGACGTACAGCACTGGAGGAGAACAAGGCCGCTCTCCGAGGTCGGTCAGCAGGTAGGTGAGCCAGCGTAGCTCCTGGGCATCCATGGCTGTGGCGTAGATCTCAGCCTCACAACTGGAGCTGAGAACAGAGGAAGAGCGTGTAGAACGCCAGGAAACAGAGCCAGAGCCAAGGCTGAAGGTGTAACCCTGAGACGACCGCTGAGTAGCCTGGTCGTCTACCCAAGAAGCGTCTGAGTGTCCAGTGAGGACAACATCGCGCCGTCCTCCAAGCACAAGCCCCATGCCCGACGTACTGCACAAGTAGCGCAACACCCTCTTAGATGCATCCATGTGCTCCTTCCGGTGACGGCCAGGAGCGACATAGCGTGCTAGGATGCTAAGAGGGTAGGCTAGGTCAGGTCGAGTGCAGGTCATCAGGTACATGAGGCAGCCCACAAGCTCTGGATACGGGCCACTCGGCTCTACGGACTCATCCGAAGGTAGAGCTGAGAGCGAGTGACCGGTAGGCAGAGGAGTGGGCTGAGGCGAGGAGTACGTGAAGCGGAAGCGCTGAAGGACCTGGTGCACCATGTGTGACTGAGTCAAGGTGATGGTGCGCTGTGCTCTGTCCCGGGTGATCCGCAAGCCAAGATAGCTTGTCAGCTCACCCAGGTCTGTGCACGTGTGTCTCTTCTGCAGCTCCGACTTCACGTGGGCGAGTGCCTCAGTGTCAGCAGTAGCAAAGACCAAGTCGTCTACGTACACGAGAACGTAGAACGGCGGCAGAGTGGTGTCGGTGCGTAGAAACAGCGACGGGTCAGCAGTAGAAGGAGCAAACCCAAGAGCAGCAAGAGTAGTCCTCAGTGTGTCGTGCCACTCACGGGGCGCCTGGCGGAGACCGTAGACCGGCCGCCGGAGGCTCCACTGGGTACCAGGAGGGAACGACCCAGCGAAGCCAGGTGGGCGGCGCAGCCAGATCTCCTCGTGCAGGGTGCCCTGTAGGAACGCAGTGCTGAAGTCAAGGCAGTGGAGCTCGTAGTCACGCTGAGCGGCGACGTGCAGCAGAACCCGAAGAGTGGTCATCTTCGGGGTCGGGGAGAAGGTCTGGAAGAAGTCAACTCCCTCTCGCTGACTGAAGCCTCGTGCAACGTAACGTGCCTTGAAGGCAGGCGGAGAACCCGGCGGCCGCTTCAACCCTGAAAATCCACATGCCACTGACGATGTTCGCCCCAGGTGGGGGAACCTCGTCGACGTAGGTGCCTGTGGACTTCCAGGAAGCCATCTCTGCGTCCATGGCTGTCTGCTACTGAGAGGATTACTCACCCTCCATCGCCTCTGCGTAGGAGCGTGGGGTCGAGATGTCTGGTGCATCCGGGTCTCCCTCAGGGGCAATCAGCATGGACACGAGATGAGGTAAAGCAGCAGCAAAGCACTCAAACTCCTCCTGTCTGTCCTCAAGGACGTCCGTGCCAAGAGCACACTCACCCCCGACGGACGGAGGACAGACAGACTCAGACTCAGCGACAAGGCTAGCGGCGTAGTCTAGACGACAGGCGGCAGCAAAGTCAACAAGCTCAGCGACTAGAGCAGACGCAGCAGAGGACTCAAAGGTAGGGTCAGTGACAACAGTGGCAAGGAAACGCGTGACAGTAGGACTAGCAGCACGAAGGGAGTCAGACTCCGGGTCCGGACCGTCAGGAAGAGAGGACGCAGGAGGAGACGGCAGAGGGACACGCTGGGGAGCAGTGGAAGGACGCAGAGTCATATAGTGAGTGCCAGGGACAGGAGGAGGACGCTCACGCGGAACACGACGACCAGTGCGGACAGCGCGAACAGGCGACTCAGGACGAAGCTCCACTCACGAAGCTCCTGGGGAGAGAGAGTCTGCTGTCCACCCGCGCCACCACGACCACCACCTCCGCCGCCACCACCTCGACCACCACCGCTCCTGCCGCCGCCTCGTCCACCGCCGCCCCCACCACCGCCCCCACCCCGGCCACCTCCTCCGCTGCTGCCGCCACCACCCCCACCGCTGCCACTAGCCCCTCCTGCCCCGCCACCACCCCCACCGCCTCCACCGCCCCCACCACCGCCTCCCCCGCCGTCACCTCCACCTCCCTTGCCCCCTTTGCCCTTGCCGCTGCGGCGCCAGCTCGGAGCGGACGCAGTCCCGACCTGCTCAGTACCAACTAGGTCGACAGCAGCAGTAGAGGCAACAGAGGGGAGAAGGGAATAAGGGGAACACCCCTCGAAGAACGGGGTGCGGGGGTCGCCACGAGAGGCAGCTACAGCGACTATGCTAGTCTCGGCTGCAAGCAGTTCCTTCTCGAGCAGGTCAACGGTGAGCTCAGTGGGGCAGCGAGCGAGGAAGTGGTCCCTGACCGCACGAAGAGAGTCAGGGAGACGGGTGACAAGGTGGTAGAGAGTGAGCCAGAGCGGGGGGGGGTGGGTGGCAAGAAACTCAGCGGGCATAGCGGCACGGAAGCGTGCCTCACTAGTGCGGAGGTGCGTGGTGAGGTCAGTGACTGTGGCGAAAGCGGACAGGTCTGGGAACAGGGGGGAGCGAGAGACGGCCTAGCGCAGCAGAGGCAGGCGAGGAGTAGCGTGCAACTACAGCAGTGTACAGTGCCTGGGCAGTTTTGTGCTGGCCAAAGTGCTCGCGCTCATCTACCGGCAGGGAGTTGCGAATGGCAAAGCGAGTGTGGGCGTCACGAGTCTGCCACTGTGAACGGGCAGTACTGTCAGCAGTAGTAGCAGGGGCAGCAGCATTGCCTAGTGCGTGATCGTACAGCGAGATATCCTCCTTGGCAGTGAGCTGGAGGAACAGGTGCAAGTCATCGAGCCAGGTCTCAAACTTCAGTGGGCGACCCTCAGCATCGAAAGCTAGAACAGCAGGGCTAGCCATAGTTGCAGTAAGAGCAGTAGTAGCAGCAGAAACAGTAGCAGTAGGAGCTGCAGGCAGTGCGACTCAGGTAGGGCGGCTCGGTCCAGAGAGGGCTGCTCAGTACGGGGAGGGCGGCGCGGCTCGGTTCGGGCGGCGCGGCTCGACTCGGTTCTGGGCGGCTCGGTTCGGGCGGCTCGGTTCGGGCGGCTCGGTTCTGGCGGGGCCGTGGCGGCCGCACGTGGGGCGGCTCGGTTCTGGCGGGGCCGACGGGGCCTCTAAGGGGCGAACGCGGGGCCGACGGGGCCGCTAAGGGGCGGCGCAAGGGGTCGACGGGGCCGTAAGGGGCCTCTAGGGGGGCGGCGCTCGGGGTCGACGGGGCCGTAAGGGGCCGCTAAGGGGCGGCGCGCGGGGTCGACGGGGCCGTAGGGGGCCGCTAAGGGGCGAACGCGGGGCCGACGGGGCCGCTAAGGGGCGGCGCGCGGGGTCGACGGGGCCTTAAGGGGCCGCTAAGAGGCGGCGCGCGGGGTCGACGGGGCCGTAAGGGGCCGCTAAGGGGCAGCGCGCGGGGTCGACGGGGCCGTAAGGGGCCGCTAAGGGGCGGCGCGCGGGGTCGACGGGGCCGTAAGGGGCCGTTAAGGGGCGGCGCGCGGGGTCGACTGGGCCTTGAGGGGCCGCTAAGGGGTCGACGGGGCCGTAAGGGGCCGCTAAGGAGGGGCGCACGAGGGCGCTACGACAGTAGGGCGCACGAGGGCGCTAGTAGACAGTCAGTGTGGTGGGCCCTAAAAAAAATTCGGTCCTAGCGGAGGACCTGCTCTGAAACCATGTCAGAAAGAACGAAACAGGAATGGTTGACTAGCAGGAGGGTTGGGTACAAATAGGTCAAACCTAACCCTAGAAGTGTTGTACTCCCTAAGGCTAAACCCACTATAGCCTACACTATATATAAACATATAATGTTTGACAAAGAGCAAAGATATCTACCCTCTGCTTAAGCAGCTCCACCCAGTCGGGGAGCTCAGCCGCGTCGCCAAACTCTGTACGCCAGGCGTCGCTCAGACGGGAGAAGCAGCGGGACTCTGTGTGACCAATCGTCCCGCAAGGCTGACCAGCCCGAGCACCAGTGCGAATGACGTACGGGCAGCGAGCAGTACTCTGTGACCCTCCACTCTGAGCGTACCACTCACGAAGCTGCTGGGGCGAAAGGACTGCGCGCAGACGCCGCTGCCGCTGCACCTGGTCACTACAAGAAGCTCCCGAACGACCCGCTCCAGGGCGACTCCCACCACGGCCACCCCTACAACCCCAACTAGCGTACCACTCACGAAGCTGCTGGGGCGTGAGGGACTCACGCGGACGTCGCTGGAGCTGCATCTGGCCACCGCCAGGAGCAGCAGTAGCAGTAGTAGCCGCAGTAGCAGCAGTAGCAGCTGTTGTCAGAATCCCAACCACTAGACCACTGGGATAAAAGGGCTTGTTTCAGTAGCGGGTCAGTGCGCCCATAACCCCCCAGGCAAACGCGCCTGTAACCCCCCCTAGGATCGATCGGGGATCTCACAGTGCAGCTCTACTGACACCCCCCCACACTGGGAGGCCCAGGACTGAGCACAGTGGCAACGGCCTACATGTGCATACACCGGGATTCGAACCCGAGACCTCTCTGATACCATGTCAGAATCCCAACCACTAGACCACTGGGATAAAAGGGCTTGTTTCAGTAGCGGGTCAGTGCGCCCATAACCCCCCAGGCAAACGCGCCTGTAACCCCCCCTAGGATCGATCAGGGGATCTCACAGTGCAGCTCTACTGACAGCTGTAACAGCAGTAGCAGCACGGCCACCCCTACAACCCCAACTAGCGTACCACTCACGTAGCTGCTGGGGCGTGAGGGACTCACGCGGACGTCGCTGGAGCTGCATCTGGCCACCGCCAGGAGCAGCAGTAGCAGGAGCAGCAGTAGCAGCAGCAGTAGCAGCAGAAACAGTAGTAGCAGCACGGGCAGGGCAGTGTGGCAGCGCGCTAGTAAGGCAGGCGCGCGGGAAGCGCGGGTAGGGCAAGTGCTCACCAGTGGCGGGAAGGGCAGTCGCTCGCCGGGCGAGCACGGTAGGCGCACGACGGCGACGACGGCGGGGCCGGGACAGCTGCAGGGCGGGGCCGCGACAGCGGCAGGGGGCCCCTCGGCAGCTGCTGCAGGGCGGGGCCACGACTGCTGTAGGCGGCTCCGCGGCAGCTGCAGCAGGGCGGGGCCGCGACTGCGGCAGGGGGGCTCCGCGGCAGCTGCTGCAGGGCGGGGCCGCGACTGTTGCAGGCGGCTCCGCGGCAGCTGCTGTAGAGCGGGGCCGCTACGGCGGCAGGGGGGGGCTCCGCGGCAGCTGCTGCAGGGCGGGGCTCCGAGGCAGCTGCTGCAGGGCGGGGCTCCGCGGCAGCTGCTGCAGGGCGGGGCTCCGAGGCAGCTGCTGCAGGGCGGGGCTCCGAGGCAGCTGCTGCAGGGGGGGGGCGCCGCGACGAGCAGGGGCGACACCCCGGGGGCGCCGCGACGAGTAGGGAAGGCGCCGCGGGGGCGCCGCGACGAGCAGGGAAGGCGCCCAGGGGGGCGCCGCGACGAACAGGAACGGCACCCAGGGGGCGCCGCGACGAGTAGGGGCGACGCCCGGGGACGTCGCGACAAGCAGGGACGGCGCCCAGGGTGGCGCCGCGACGAGCAGGGGCGACGCCCTGGGGGCGCCGCGACGAGCAGGAGGGGGACGCCGCGCGGGTCCCGCAGGGGCGTCGCGACGAGCACGATTTAGGGCGGCACGCGGGCTGCAGAGGCAGCTCCCACGGGCTGCAGAGGCAGGCACGGCTGCAGGGGCAGGCACAGCTGCTCGGGAGGGCGGCACGCGGGCTGCAGGGGCAGCTCCCACGGGCTGCAGAGGCAGGCACGGCTGCAGGGGCAGGCACAGCTGCAGGGGCAGACACGACTGCAGTGTCAGCACGGTCGCAGGGGCAGCACGCGGGCTGCAAGGGCAGCGCGGCCGTAGGGGCAGCTAAAAAAAAAAAAAAATCAGTTAGGGCACGGCGGAACGTTCGGTGGGCCCTAGGAACGATTCTGCTCTGATACCATGTCAGAATAAGAACGAGGAATGATTGAACTAGAAATGTGATGGGTACAAATAGGGAAACCTAGAAAAGCTGTACCCCCTATTGTCTAACCCACTACAGCCTAAACAGACTAAAACATACAAATTTGTTCAAGAAGAGTTGGGGCGAAGCAGAAATTCACGTCGAAATTGGGCAAACATGCAATGATTGCTTCTGGTGACGTAAAAAAATGCAGAATCGAGAGCCAACCATTCCGATTTTGCTTTGCGTAATCCGAAATCGCATCTATTCTCGATAGTCTGTGCTAATTTGAAACGGATATTGGTAAGCGTACGATTTTAATATAACACGTTTCTAAGCTGCGTAAAGTGTACACACCTGCCCAATAACATGGCATGCACCTGAATACAGTTCCTAGACTAAGTTGCATGCACCTGAAAATGGCCGCAGAAACAATGCGATTTCAACGCAGTTTTGATTTCATTGGTCGACACATGGCACATAACTACAAACTGAACCTGTGGATACTGTCAGCAAAAACAGTAACTATTATATTTTTGTTTTTAGTGATAAATTAATATATACCCCATTCAGAATGATATCAACCCTAAACACCTTACGAATGGTGTTTAGGTTTGATGCTCTATCGATGGCACGCCATCGAAAAAATATACTCGTTGGGAAGGGCATCAACCCTAAACACCTTGTCGCCTGGTGTTTAGGGTTGATGACTCCCTCGGAAAACATGCCACCCGATAGGGTTTTATATTTGTTATGCCCGAAATAATAACGTTTGACGGTTCGGTGGCCGTCAACCCAACCAGAGTTGTCGGCCGGTCATGTCAGAATAACGAACGAGGATGAATGAACTAGCAGCAAGATGGGTACAAGTAGGAAACCCTAATTGGGTTGTACCCCATATGGGCTACCCCACTATAGCCTACACAATAAGCAGCATATAAGTTTGACACACCCCCATAGGCAAAGTGGGGGAGAACAAGAGGTCACAAGACCAGTCAAGAAAAGCAAAGCAAGCTCAGGGTGGATCACGAAGTCACCACGCATTCTGAGCACAAGCAAATGGCCACAAGGCCAGTTCACATGCAGAGTTATATAATGGAGAACAAACAGTACAGTTATCAAAACCTAGCAAGTGTAAGCATGCATGTATATGTATATAGATCACAGTACAAGCAAAGTCAAGAAGTGAGCAAGTGAGGCAAAGTAGGCACAAGGCCTAGAACAGTACAGAAACGCTGATGATCACAAGGCGCAAGTGCCTTGGTGAAAATATCAGCAGTGTTGGCCCGAGAGGCCACGTAAGCAAGACGAAGCTGACCACGCTGCTGCAACTCTCGAGCAAGGAAGTAGCGCAGAGCGATGTGCTTCGTTCTGTGCTCCAGTCTGTGCTCCTGACACAAGGCAAGCATTGCCTTGTTGTTGACGTACAGAACAGGGGGAGAACGAGGCGGCTCTCCCAAGTCAGTCAGTAGGTAGGTGAGCCAGCGTAACTCCTGTGCAGCCATGGCCCCTACGTAGATCTCAGCATCACAACTGGAACTGAGAACAGAAGACGAGCGAGTAGACCGCCACGAAACAGAGCCGGAGCCAAGGCTGAAAGTGTAACCCTGTGACGACCGCTGCGTAGCCAAGTCGTCAACCCAAGAAGCGTCTGTATGGCCAGTGAGGACAACACGAGCCCGTCCTCCAAGCACGAGCCCCATGCCCGACGTACTGCAAAAGTAGCGCATCACCCTCTTAGCGGCCTTCTAGTGCTCTGGTCGGTGTCTCCCGGGCGCAACGTAGCGTGCCAGGATGCTAAGAGGGTAAGCAAGGTCAGGTCGAGTGCAGGTCATCAGGTACATGAGGCAGCCCACAAGCTCTGGATATGGGCCACTCGGCTCTACGAACTCATCCGAAGGCAGAGCTGAGAGCGAGTGACC